AGTAAAATCTATATCACAAAATTTCTACACACGAAAAAAAAAATAATTATTGATATTTAATTAATAATAATAAAAACACAAAAAAAATCTACTGTAATTTTTCCAGCTTCGGACACAACATTAAAAAATAATATAAATAAAAAATCAGCAAAAATCTTAACAATTTACAGAAAAAATTAAACAAAAAATTACAAGTGGAGGAATTTTTTTTTAATTTGCAAATGTGTGAGTCATGATGACGTATTAAAACACCATTAAAGAAATGTACTCTTTTTCTCGCATTAAAATTACTACGTTTTATTTTTTAGTAGAGGAATAATTGATGGTATGGATAGTAGTGGAGGAAAGTGTCAGGTAAGTAGTACTAAGAGGGAGGGGAAGTACCAGGTGAAGAATATTGCGTCTCTCTCTCTCTCTCTCTCTCTCTCTCTCTCTCTCTCTCTGTGTGTGGAGACCTTCTTTCAGGTAACAGCATCTTGGGCAAGCAGAGTGGAGGAGCACTATTCAAGTAGAACCTCAATCTCAACCTCCACCCTCACCTCTGCCTCCATCCCACCCACCCACTTACTTACCCACCAACCCATCCACCCATCTATCCACTCACCTATCCACCCACAAGTAAGAGTAAGTGTATGTTAGGTTTATTCAATGAGAGAAGGAGGGAGTTGAGTGAAGGGAGAAGGAGGGAGTGGGGAGGGAGGATGAAGGGAGGGAGGGGAGAGGGAGGGAGGGAGGAGGGAGGGAGGGGGAGGGAGGAGGGAGAGGGAGGGAGGGAGGGAGGGAGTGAGGGAGGTGGGGGAGAGGAGAAGCTAAAGAAAATATGACCCCACCATCTGAATTGGTGATGAGGAAGAGGACTCTTGTAATGGTGCCTTGAGTGAACCTGCCTTGGTGACTGTAGTGTGTTGGGCTGAATACCATGTTAACCCACCTCCTTCCATCCTTCTTTCTTTCTTTCCTCCTTCACAGTGATGGTGAATTGTGGTGGTGTGGGAGAAAGATAGGTAAGGATGGGAAGGTAGCAAGGAGGGAGGAAGGGTGGGAAGGAAGGAGGGAAGACAAGAGGAAGATAAAGTAGTGATGGAAGACAGGCAGGAGAAGGAAGGATACAAGAACTGATGTACGAGGATAAAGAAGAAGAAGAAGAAGAAGCAGAAGATATGTTGATATTGAAACATCAACATCAATATCATCTCTTCCCCTACACAGGTGACGAATGTCTGGTGATGTGTCCTCTCTCTCTCTCTCTCTCTCTCTCTCTTTCTCTTTATGTGTTATTCCTACATACACTCTGTCATTTATGTTCAATTCAACTTACATACCTACATACATACAAACATACATACATACATACATACATACAAACATACATACATACATACATACACACAAACATACATACATACATACACACAAACATACATACATACATACATACATACACAGCAGCAGTCAGGTGTTGGCCGAGATGTGCTCCATAACACCTGGTCAACACACTAAATTGGGCAGTGATCGTCCAGATAACCTTCTACCTACCTGCCTCACCTCCTGCCTCACCTCCTGCCTCACCACTTGCCTCACCACTTGCCTCACCTCCTGCCTCACCACTTGCCTCACCTCCTGCCTCACCACTGCCTGCCTCACCTCACCCTGCCTCACCACCTGCCTCACCCTCAAGCTGTACCCAGGACTTTACGGTCCATGCGTCTTAGGTGAGTTGCAAGGAGGGGAGGGAGGGGAGGAGGAGGCAGGGAGGGAGGGAGGAGGAGGAGGAGGGCAGGAGGAGGGTGGAAGGAGGATGGAGGAAGGAGGGAGGGGAGGGAGGGAGGGAGGAGGAGGGAGGAGGGAGGGGAGGTATGAAGGGAAGGCTTGAAGGTGAGGTAGATAGGTAGGGAGAGGGAAGAACGAAGGATGGAAAGATTAGAACACAGGTAGAAAAGCAAGGAGGTAAGATGGAAGGTAGGAAGGAGAGACTCAAGGAGATACCAATACACTTGACAATATACATTAAGGGAGAGAAGCGGAGGCTCAACGCCACGACTTAACTCATTTAGGGGAGGTCATCTCAGAGGGTCGAGGCCGTGTGAGAGAGAGAAGAGAAGGAGAGAGAGAGAGAGAGGAGAGAGAGAGAGAGAGAGAGGAGAGAGAGAGAGAGAGAGAGAGAGAGACTTAAACAAGGAGATAAACAGGAGAAATGAAGAGAAGGAGAAAAAGAGAAACCTATAAAAACAGAAAACGAGACAGCAAAGAATCAAGAGATAAAGAAAGAGAGATAAAGAGATCCAGAGATACCATCAAGCTATCCTCCACTTGTCTTATTAAAACCTCTGCATCATCTCTCTCTCTTCTTTCTCCTCCTCTTCGTCTCTACTATCTGTCTGTCAGTCTGTCTGTCTGTCTCTCTCCATCTATATATCTATCTCTCAATCCATCGTGTGGGATCCTCAGAGAGACAGTCCTTGGGGAGATAGAGCAGTGTCTCTCATCGGGTAATCCAACTAGGTAGAGAGATAATTACCTCAGTCAAGGTCATTTTGGTGGGTCAATTAAGGTCATTGTAGTGGGTCCATTAAAACGCCATTTAGTGCCGGTTTAAAGGCCATTTTTACATCCCCTTTAAAGAGCCATTTATAGGGGAATTCGTTTAATCGCCTCAATGTCCTGTGACCTTTTATGACCTAATGAATAGAGATCTTTCACGTGTGAGGGATAATTAACTGCATGAGATTGATGATTAATTTGTCTGTCATCACCGTTAAGAAACCTATTTACTATTTGGGAGCCTTTCTTGGGCTACCTTAATGGCCTTGACGTATGGATGTTGATTATTAGGGAGGGATATTGTAAATGCTTATTTTTCAATGGTAGTTTATCATACTAAAATTTTGATTAGGTTAGGTGCGGTTAGTGTTCCGTTAGGTTAGGTTAGGTTAGGTTAGCGCTAGGTTAGGTTAGGTTAGGTTAGGTTAGGTGCGGTTAGTGTTCCGTTAGGTTAGGTTAGGTTAGCGCTAGGTTTGGTTTTGGTTGGGTTGGTTAGCTTTAGGTTGGGGAGGTTAATCTTCAGGTGCAATAAGCTGGGGAAGGGGGGAAGCACATGCTCAGGTTCAGTAAACTGGGGGTGTAATCTTCAGGTGATCTTATTTGAGTTTATGTCAAAAGTCTTGTCCATTTTAAATTCTGCGTTAATCACTTATTCAAGACGTCGAGGAGAAGTGGGTAGAGGAGGAGGGAGAGAAAGGTGAGGGTATGAGGAGAAGGAGCAGGAGTATGAGGAGGAAGAGGAGGAGTGGGAAAAGGAAGAAGAGTAGTAGTAGTTGGAGGAGGAGGAGGAGGAGGAGGAGTAAGAGGGAGAGGAGTGGGAAAGGAGGAAGAGTTGGAAGAGGAAGGGAAGAAGCAGTAGTAGTAGCATTAGGAGGAGGAGGAGGAAGATAAGATAGAGGAAAACAGAGAAACAGGCGCAGAAGAAGAAGAAGAAGAAGAAGAAGAAGAAGAAGAAGAAGAAGAGAAGAAAAGTTTCCTATCATTCCAAACTTTGTCATAACTTCCGACACGACTTAAAACAAAACAAAAATATAACGCCAACGTGAATAATTACATGAGAAGGGGAGGGGGTGATGGAGGGGGGATGGGGGGGTGATGGGAGGGTGATGGGGAGGGTGATGGGGAGGGTGATGGGGGGTGATGGGGGGTGATGGGGGGGTGATGGGGGGGGGTGATGGGGAGGGTGATGGGGAGGGGGTGATGGGGGTGATGGGGAGGGGGTGATGGGGGGGGTGATGGGGAGATGGGGAGGGGTGATGGGGGAGGTGATGGGAGGGTGATGGGGGAGGTGATGGGAGGGGGTGATGGGGGAGGGGGTGATGGGGAGAGAGTAACTGTTATAACTGTAGATTTAACCGGATTCTAGCGGACTTTAACGAATTTTAACGGATTCTAGCGGACTTTAACGGATTCTAACTGTTTATAACAGACTCTTGCTAACTGTGACGAACTCTAATGAACTCTAAAGACTCTGACGGATTGCGGCGGAGTCAAACAGAATAAACAAGAGATAAAAATGGGTAAATCAGGAAGCAAGAGATAAATACAGGTAAACAAGAGATAAATACAGGTAAACAAGGAGATAAATACAGGTAAACAAGAGATAAATATAGGTGAATACAGGTAAACAAGAGATAAAACAGGTAAACAAGGAGGTAAATGCAGGTAAACAAGAGTAAATACAGGTAAACAAGGATAAAACAGGTAAACAAGGAGGTAAAACAGGTGAAGCAAGAGGTAAATACAGGTGAAACAAGAGATAAATACAGGTAAACAAGAGATAAATATAGGTGAATACAGGTAAACAAAGAGATAAAAAGAAACAAGAGGTAAATACAGGTGAACAAGAGGTAAATACAGGTAAACAAGAGATAAAACAGGTAAACAAGAGGTAAACAGGTAAACAAGAGGTAATACAGGTCAAGAGAGATAAAACAGGTAAACAAGAGGTAAAACAGGTAAACAAGAGATAAATACAGGTAAACAGCAGGTAAATACAGGTAAACAGTCCAGCAATATTTATATATCAGTACACCATAATAATAATAAAAATTTATCTTAGTTGTACCCAGATTCAGAAATTCAAAATCAAAACGAAGAGAATTATAATCTCTACAATGATGATTAATACTTTTAAACTTTATTCATTACTGTGAGAATTATCTTCATAATTGATTTTATGAAACAGGTGTTACCATACATACTCGTTATATGTATATAATGTATATGTATATGAATATGCATATCACGTATATAACCAGAATTAAACTAATGAGTATTCTTGTAGTCTCACCAAGGAAAGTTAAATATTCAAAAATACTCAAACTTTACCAACTTTCACCTGTATTTTACACTAAGGTTAATAGTCATTATGCAAGAATTTTCTGAATATATATAGAGGACATGTCAGGTAAGGTCAGGTAAGGTCAAGGTAAAAAGGACAAGTGAAATACTTTTGAAAGTTAAGTGGAAAAAACAACCCATTTTAAGGGGTAAATGAGGGAACTGTGGAGAGTGAGGGAGTTTGATGGAGGAGGTGAGAGTGAAGTTACTGCCACCATCACCACCACCACCATGCCACCAACACCACCATCACTACCATCACCATCATCACCACCACTATCAACCCCATCACCATGATCACCACTATCACCACCATCACCACACCACTATCACCACCACCATCACCTATCCACCATCATCACCAACACCACATCACCACCATCACCACCACCTACCACACCATCTGCATCATCACCACCACCACCACCATCATCACAACCACCACCACCACACCACCACCACTACCACCATCCCACCACCACCAACACCACCACCACCACCACCAACACCACCACCACCATCACCCTACCAACACCACCACCACCATCCCACCACTACCACACCACCACCATCACCACCATCACCACCACCACCACCACCACCACACACCACTACCACCAACACCCCCATACAATCATCAGCATCCACTCCTTGCAACACCATCCACAATCACATCAGCAGCACACCATGCAGCCAACACCACCACCATCACCACCAACACCACCACCATCACCACCAACACCACCACCACCACCACCACCAACACCACCACCACCACCATCACCACCACCACCATCACCACCAGGTCACCTTGTTGTTAAGTGGCTGCTCAATGTTTAATGAGTTTCAGAGTCTTGCATCTTTATCAGGCGGCTGAGACACTACCACTCTCTCTCTCTCTCTCTCTCTCTCTCTCTCTCTCTCTCTCTCTCTCTCTCTCTCTCTCTCTCTCTCTCTCAACACACCATCTAATAACGTAAACAGTACAGGAATTATTAATTAATCCACAACAAACGACCACAAGTCCTGAAACTATATTCTTCTTCTTATTAATTATTATTGCTGTTATTGTTCTTCCTTTATTTGTGTTCTTGTTCTTCTGTTGTTGTTCTCTTATTCATGTTGTTGTTGTTGTTGTTCATTTTGTTGTTCTTCTTTTTGGTGTTGTTTTGCTCTTCTTCACATGTCTTCCTTTATTCTCCATCAATTTTATCTCTTCACCTCCCCCTCACCTCCTCGCGGTCATCCTCAGATAAGTGAGGGAGTAACACGTCAGCAATCAGGAAGCGGACACGCGCGTCAGGTCCTGCGAGTGTGTGTGTGAAAGTTGCCCGAGGGTGGTGGCTGTGATTGGCACCTTGTTGGAGGGTGGTGGTGTAGCTGATGATGATAATGGTAGTGGTGGGGAATTGGTGATGGTGTGGTAGTGATATTGATGGTGAAGAGGCAGCAGGTGGTGGTGAGGTAATACTAAGTGCCAATGGTCGACACTCTGGCACTAAAGGCATATCAACACCATACACCTATTGTAACGTGGCTCTCGTTTACTATATGTGGCACAACTTTCGTTCTCTTTTATGCAGTAGGACTTCCTATTTCGTTGTGTAGTAGGACTTCCATCACCAAATGCCATAAGGATAACTATGTTATCCCCATGGTAGTATTGACGTTACCCTACATAAGCGAGCAATTCCATTTTCTATATTTGGCAGAAGAGATTTACTTTACATCCCTAACATACGATCCGTTTTCTCTACAAACCAATATTCCCATTTTCTATAACGTTAGAAGGGATAGGAAGCTCAGTAAACCACAAGCTACAGACACGTACCATTTGCATATCAGTATTGCTTCCGTGGTGGTGGTGGTGGTGGTGAAAGGACCTCACTGATCATAGCCGTGGCTACAGGCGGCAATTTTTGGAGTGAGGGAAAATGTGGTGAAATAATGTGTGTGGGTAAGAATATGGTAAGGTGATGGTGGTTGTTGGTGAAAGTGGTTGGTGATAGTGGTTGTTGGTGATAGTGGTTGTTGGTGATGGTGGTGGTTGCCGGTGATGCTGGATGGTGATGCTGGTTGGTGATGATGGATGGTGATGGTGATATTGATTGGTGATGGTGGCTGTTGGGGGTCACCGCTGCCCCTGGGAGGGCCCCGGAGGGAGCCGCCGCACATGGTAGGGACTCTGGGGGGCGCCACAGCCCCTGACAGGTGCCCTTGGGGTGTCGCTGCCCCTGAGAGGGCCCGAAGGGGCGACGCTGCCCCTTAGGAAGGCCCCTTGTTACGCCGCTGTACATGGGAGGGTCTCTGTGGCAGTCGCTGCTACCACAATCGAATCGTGGACTATATATTCGAAATCAGCAGCTGAGGAGTACCTATAATGTTATTTTCAACAAAATCTAATGTTGGGCCAAAACTGTCGAGCCTTACACTTTGTAACTTGTCGACCATAATATACTTTTCTCAGAATAGAAATTTTAGGGCTTTAACTAATTAAGTACTTACAGAATAACACATTACCACTAAAATCGCGTTTTAGAAACCCATAGTTGGCGAGTAATTAGCATTAAAACATGTCATTAAATTTTCCAAGCATCATTACGACCACTAATTACCCCGCAATCGAATCGTAGAACATATATACGAAATCAGCATCTACAGAAGTACCTACGGGCTCTTGAGATGGCTCCACAGGGGCGCTGCCCAGATTGGAGGGCCCCCTATAGGTGCCGCCTCCCCTGTGAGGGCCCCTAGCGGCGCCGCCGAATCTGGGAGGGTCTCTTGGAGCGACACCGCCCCTTGGAGGGCCCTTGAGGGAACCCTTGGCGGTTCTGCCGCCCCTGGGTGCGCCACACCCCCTGGAAAGGGTCCTGGGGGCGCCACAGCTACTGGCATGGTCCCTGAGGGTTTTACCGCCTTTCGGAGGGCCCATGGGGTCACCGCTGCTCCTGGGAGGGCCCCGGAGGGAGCCGCCGCCCATGGTGATGGTGGTCGCTAGGAGGAGATAGAGGATAGGGAAGAGAGTGAGATGAGGAGGAGGGAAAAGAAAAGAAATTTAAGGGAAGATGAAGAAGGAAAAAAGGAAATGGAATAAGAGACTTTCATCTAAATACCTGTACAGTAAGTGTTTATTTCCTACCTCTCCCACAGGTACAAGACGGAACGGAAGTGGAAGAGGGCCATGTGACTGCTTCCCCTCCCACACCACCCACTGAATCTTCCTCTTCCTCTTCCTCCTCCTCCTCCTCCTCCACTACCACCATCTCCCTCACCACCGATCCTACCACAGTCGCCTCCACCATCACCATCATAACCAGCACTTCCTTACTCTCTACTTCTACCACCACAATCCCAAGCACAACTACCACAACTACCACTACAACTACCACCACCACCACGCCAGCACCCATCGGTCTGCCCATAGCTAAAGCGACGCTCACACGCCCACGAGCCAAGGTCGCCCATTCCGGGGTGTACACCTGTACTAACTCGTGCACATCACCTGTCAACGTCACCTTACACGTGCTTATAGGTGAGTGAACACTGAAGTACACCTGTTAACTTCCTCTAGCAGGTGTTACAGGTAAGTGAACACACGCGTACACCTGTTATCTTCCTGTAGCAGGTGTTACAGGTAAGTGAACACACGCGTACACCTGTTAACTTCCTCTAGCAGAGTGTTACAGCTGAGTAGACACACGCGTACACCTGTTAACTTCCTCTAGCAGGTGTTACAGGTAAGTGAACACACGTGTACACCTGTTAACTTCCTCTAGCAGTGTTACAGGTAAGTGAACACATGTGTACACCTGTTAACTTCCTCTAGCAGGTGTTACAGGTAAGTGAACACGCGTACACCTGTTAACTTCCTCTAGCAGGTGTTACAGGTAAGTGAACACACGCGTACACCTGTTAACTTCCTCTAGCAGGTGTTCAGGTAAGTGAACACACGCGTGCACCTGTTCTTCCTCTAGCAGGTGTTACAGGTAAGTGAACACGTGTACACCTGTTAACTTCCTCTAGCAGGTGTTACAGGTAAGTGAACACACGCGTACCCCTGTTAACGTCCTCTAGAGTGTTACAGGTAAGTGAACACACGCGTACACCTGTTAACTTCCTCTAGCAGGTGTTACAGGTGTTTAATAGTACGTGAACCTTGTGTATATCTGTGCGTGTGTGTGTGTGTATACGGAGGTCAAAACACACAGCTAAAATATACAGTCTAACTTTACACTTGCATACAGGTAAAATATACAGGTGAAATGCTTAGGCAGAGTACATTAGGACCTTCTGCCAATTAGGAGCAATTTCCCAGGACTGATGTAATTTGTGAGAGAAAGAGAGAGCTTTACACACACACACACACACACACACACACAACACACACACACACACACACACACACACACACACACACACACACACACACACACAGCTGGTGGCAACCTGGAAATTTTACTGCAGGCTTGCCGTCCTGTCACTCAATCTTCGTGTCCAAGGAACTGCTTGTTCAGTGGTCTTTGTGTGTGTGTGTGTGTGTGTTGTGTGTGTCAGACAACTAACTCTACCATTGAGAAATGATGGAGATCAGGTTCAGTGCCTTGTCTCCTCACCTCCTTTTCTTCCCTTCCCTCCCTCCTCCCTCCCACTTCTCACTCTCCCTCACCTTCCTCCCTCCTCCACCACTGCAATAAGACCCCCACAAGGACCGTTGGAGGCTATTTGGAAGCGTCTTGGAGGTAAAAGATATCAAAAGCCTCCATCACCTCCCACCTTCCTCCTCCTCCTCCTCCTTCTACTCCTCCTCCCTTCCTCCTACTACTACTATTACTAACACCAATACAACAACTACTACTGCTACCACAATTTTAAATACTACAACTACTACCATCAATACCATCATCCCAACTACCACTACTACCACCGAATGATTTGAGAGAGAATTTTAGAACCATTATTAAAGTCTACTTAAGATTTCCTTAAATAATTAATCCAATATAGAACCTTAGAACCGAACAGGACCAAATAGAACCCATTGAGAACCACTCCTGACCAGATGAACCAGTCTCTCTCTCTCTCTCTCTCTCTCTCTTCTCACACCCACACACACAATTTCTCTCCACTCAACACTCTCACACACACACTGTTTCTCTCACTATCTCTCTTGTCTCTCCTTCTCTCAGACTTATCTTCTGCACAGTCAACAAGAAAATCGGCCAAGGTTTTCAGATTGTTGGTTAGGAGGAATATGTTTACCCTTTGGGGACGGAGGAGGAGGAGGGAGGGAGGAGGAGGAGGAGGAAGTAAGTGGTGAGGAGGATGGGTGGTAGAGGAGGATGAGAGAGGGAGGCGAGGAGGAGGAGGAGGAGGAGGAGGAGGAGGAGGAGGAGGAGGAGGAGGGAGGAGGAGGAGGAGGAAGGAAGAAGGAGGAAGGAGAAAGCAGAAGAAGAAGCTTGGTGACGAAGAAAGGGAGACAAAGATAAAGAGAGAGAAAGAGGCAAGGAGGGAGAAAGATGAGTGATGACTTGGTAAGGAAGAAATATGGAAGGAAGGGGAGAGAGGGAGAGTAGGAGGAGGGAGAGGAAAGAAGGGAGAGGGAGAGGGGAAGGAGGAAGGAGAGGGAAGGAGGAGGGGGGAGGTAAGGAGGGAGAGGGAGAGGGAAGAAGGGAGGAGGGAGAGGGAGGAGGAAGGGAGAGGGAAGGAGGGAGGGAGGTAAGGAGGGCGGAGGAGAGGGAAGGAGGAAGGGGAGAGGGAAGGAGGAAGGGAGAGGGGAAGGAGGGAGGAGAGGTAAGGAGGAGGGAGAGGGAAGGAGGAAGGGAGAGTAGGAGGGAGGGAGAGGGAAGGAGGAGGGAGGGGGAGGTAAGGAGGGAGGGAGAGGTAAGGAGAGGGGAGAGGGAAGAGGGAGGAGGGAAGGGGAGGGGAAGGTAAGGAGAGAGGAAATGAGGGAGGGAAGGAGCAAAGCAGGATCACCAGGGGGCAGCAACATACAAAGGCAACAACTCCACACTAAAATACGTTTCGTTGAGAGGTGTGGAAGGCAGTCAGAGTGAAGACCAGACCTGAATAATGCAGTTTGTGGTAGAGCCGCACCCCTCCCCTGCCACTGTCTAGGGAACAGGTAGGAGAGGAGGAGAAAGGAGAGCGGAGGGAGGGGGGAGAAGAGAGGAAGGGGAGCTGAGGGGAGGAGAGAGAGAGACAGGAGGGGAAAGAGGCGGAGGGGATGAGGGGAGAACAGGGAGGTGAAAAGGGGGAGATGAGGGGAGGAGGAGAGGGAGAGAGGGGGTTGAAGTGTCTTGCTAGATGCGAACAAAGAAAGTTAGATTTACTGATATTGCAATGTTTATTAATCTGCTGTTGCAATATTGATTAATTTATTGTTGCAATGTTGATTAATTTGTTGTTGCAATGTTGAATCATTTGTTGTTGTTGTTGCCTTTTCTATTATTGCAATTATTTGTTTTTGAAGTAGAAAAGACAAACGTACAAAACACCCTTACAATTATTCAGTAAAAAATGTTAAGTACAGCATTAAACGAGAACGCTGGGGGTTGTAAGCTTAACAGTATAGGTTAACTCAGGTGAGGAAAATATGTATTCAATTTACACAGGTAAGCACTGTCGCCCCTCAACACGGCAACACAGGGTTAAATTTACAATGTCAGACAAAACAACAACAAATTCAACTGTACATGACAATATGGCGAGTATAGTTGAGTGTGTGTGTGTGTGTGTGTCGGGGTGTGTGTGTGTGTGTATGTGTGTGTGTGTGTGTGTATGTGTGTGTGTGTGTCGGGGTGTGTGTGTGTGTGTGTGTGTGTGTGTGTGTGTGTGTGTGTGTGTGTGTGTGTGTGTGTGTCGGGGGTGTGGTGTGTGTGTGTGTGTGTGTGTGTGTGTGTGTGTGTGTGTGTGTGTGTGTGTGTGTGGGAGGTGGTTAGGGGAGGTATTAGATAAGGGGGTTAGGTTGTTTTCATCTCCCCAATCCCTATTCCCACCCTACCTACCCTCCCCAACTCTCTCCCACTCATCGCCACAGTACCCGCCATTCCCACCACCCCACCCCTCATCTCCCCACCATATTCCACACACGTCCTTCCTCATCTCACCATTCCTCCATCAGTTTCCCCTTCCCCATCACCATACTCCGACACTCGTCACCTTCACCACCACTTCTAACTTCCCCTCCACCATTTCTCCATCACTCCTTCCACCGCCCATGCCATTCTACCACCACTCCTGTACTCCCCTCCACCATTCTTCTCTCCCCCACCACCACTCCTACCTCCCCTCCAACATCACTCCTCCACCATTCTTCTCCTCCCCACCAATGTTTCCAGCTCGCTCACTACAAGGATTCCTCTGATTCGCACCGCAGGCGTTAAGTGCAGCATTCCATTGGTGATCATCAGGCGAAAATCGAGCCATGTCTTCCTCACCATCGCCCGCCAAGCACTGCGAGGTCCTGGCGAATTAATGATGCTTGTGACGGTGAGTGTCCTTGTGTATGTACGTCTGGGGGTAGTGGTGGTGGTGGTGGTGGTGGTGGGGGTAGTGTGTGGTAGTGGTGGAGGGTGTAGCTGTGTAGTGGTGGTGGTGGGTGTAGCTGTGTAGTGGTGGTGGTGGGGGTGTGTGGTGGTGTGTGATGGTGGTGATGGCGTGTGTGGTGGTGTGTGGTGGTGGTGTGTGGTGGTGTGTGGCGGTGTGTGATGGTGGTGGTGGGTATGTTTGTATGTAAATGTGCAGCGTAGAGATGGTTAGTGTTAATCTCTCTCTCTCTCTCTCTCTCTCTCTCTCTCTCTCTCTCTCTCGTTCTCTTGGGTGGACAATAAAGTTCTTTTATTGTTTGTGAAAGCGCCTGGAACTTTGAGTGTGTGTGTGTGTGTGTGTAGAGAGAGAGAGAGAGTTTCCCACAAGGCCTCTCTTTTCAACAGAAAGAGATATCTCACAGTTCAACAATCTCAGTCCCCCGGTAAATTCAGATCGATCTCGGCCGCCTCGTGATGCACCTCACTGAACATCACTGCCGAGTCTCTCAAGATTCTAAAAGTCAGATATTTTAATGTATCAAAGTAAGAGAGAGAGTCCTGCTTTCTTCTTTCTCCCTGTTCTTATTGTTCTTGTTTCTTGTTGCTGTTGTTGCTCTTCTTCTTCTACTTATTGTTGTTGTTATTGTTCTTCTTTTCATCATTAACCTCTTCTTCTTCTTGATCGCCCAGTTTCTTCTTCTCCTCCTTCTTTTCTTCTTCTTCTTCTTCTTCTTCTTCTTCTTCGTCTTCTTCACCATCGTCTTCCCCAACTTCTTCATCATCTTCTTGCAAAACAATTAAAAGTCGCTCCTTTAAATCAGATCCAATTAATTTGAAATTCTGCTAGACTTTGTACCATTTGGTCGCCCCAATACTCCTAACCCTTCTTTTATTTTTCTCTCTTTTGGTGGGGTGGGGGGATTTAAAGGCGGTAGAAACACAAAACACAAAACACACTACATTCTTTGAGTTTTATTCCGTCATAAAATATAATATAGACGAATGAAGA